GCAAGAGTTTGCTGTAATCCATTAGAGGTTGGGGCCAACCAGTAATTTTCTGGTCTATCAAGTCAAGAATATCCAGTAGAGAGCCAAATATACAGCTTGTCTTACAACATTATTTTCCCATGGGTAATTCAATATCCCATCTCTTTCCCCTTTGAAGGCTGCCACCTCCACTTTTCCTCCAAACAAGAATTAATCTTCTATTTTATTGCAGATCAAAATAGATGGGAGGAAAATTAAAGACCAGGAAACCTGTTTCCAAGGAGACCCACCTGTGTGGGTGGGCCAAAGTGAAAGGAACAAGAAGGCTTCACTTCGCTACCAAAAGACAGAACAGTGCCTGACAAACTGAGCTATATGTGGTTGGGGAAGGAAGAGGTTTAAGATCCCCATTTGAATTATTGGAAAAACCCGGCTGGCTTTAAAAGCTCCAATATAAGTTTATAATAAGACTCCCTCTGGCCTCTTAATTTCTGTCTGCTTCCTAATTGTTTTTCATAATGTTACATCTACAATACCTTCCGTGCCAGTCTTGGGAGTTTAGAGAGATAGCAAGCAGCATGAGAAATAAGAGGTGTATTTATAGCATAGGATGAAACTTTTGTTGCAGAGGAATACTTCAGGTATAAAGACCCACCCAGGAAGAGACAGTTTGGATATTCCAAGTCTGAAAATAAACCATAAAGCAGCCCAAGGGCCATCTCTGACTTAATGATTACAAACACAGATGGTACTTGATCAGCTAGATGAAAATGGTTCATTTTGTAGGCACTTTTCCAGTCCTCTGGTAGTTCCCTGGTGCTCCAGGATCTTTGAAAGATATAGACCAGTGATTCTGAGATCATGTGGCCATTCTCCAAGAAAAAAAAATGATCAAGTTGCTAGCCATCACTATGGTATATTCATGGGAAATCCATAGTTGAACTATATTTACTGTATGCTTTGGTAATGTTTCTTGGCACAGGTTATTCCCTTTTGGGTTCCCAATAAAAGGGGAAAACAGGAGGCAGGAGTGTCCATGGAGATTCTCAGTCATCCAGGTCATGGTTATCTCAAAGGTGCTTTTTCAAAAGGCAACTGAACTTTTTGTTGTTGTTGTTGAGGAAGACTCAAGAAGCTTCTTCAATTCTGACTGAATGTTTATCTCTAACTGAAGAAGCTTCTGGGACAAGAAGCAAAATGTCTTCCTCAAGGAAAAAACAAAATAGCTGCCTTTTGAAAAAGCACCTTTGAGAGGAGGCAGGAGTATTAGGTATGTTTGACACCTTGAGTCATATATTTAAAAAGGCAGAATAAAAATATCTAGTAACAACAATAAAAAAGACATTCAGTCCCACTTCACTCTAATTCAGCGGTTCTCAACCTATGGGTCGCGACCCCATTTGGGGTCGATCGACCATTTTACGGGGGTCGCCAAACAAGGCGATCTGCCATTTTCCCCCCTCAGGGGGCGGCGCCGCACATGCGCGCCACGCATGGGGGCGGCACGTTGCGCATGCGCGGCATGTTTGTGTGACGGGGGTCGCCGTCACACAAACGTTGAGAAACGCTGCTCTAATTGCTGGGGATAATAGAAAAAAGTGCCCCCTTCCCACAATAAGCCAAGGATTGGCAGATGTTTCCTTTACATTGTGACAACTGCAACCATTTCTGATGGCTTCCACCTTCTTTGCATTTGTATCTGAACTGCATTGCTGTAACCTTCTCTTGCAGTGATATTTTTTCCCCTATAGAAAAATGAAGAGCTGTGCCTCCAGGGACTGGAGGCATCTCTGTGTGCAGGCATATTCACCGGGGTCCAGTATAACAGGGATAGGTTGTTTTGAGGTGAGACAATATTTGTTTATAGAACATAGTAGCGTTAACTTTCAAGGGGTTTAGAATAGGAGACAAATATTTTTGTATCCACCTATCAGGCTGGATGAGAGATAAGGAGCACCCCAAGTTTACTGGAAGGAGGTCTCTGACAATGATGGGAACAGGAGAGTATCACTGTCAAGAAAGGAGTTGTTTACCTTTCAGCTCAGCTTGGCCACAGCTGTGCCTGCTCAGCCGTAAGGGAGTGAAATTAGCCGGCTTCATTGTACTCCTTTGTCTTCGGCTGGGACAGGCAAAAGAGCTCATCTGCGCTGGCTTAATGAGTCATCGTCTCTAGGAAAGGGAGGGTGATTCAATTTCTGCTCCGTTAATTAAGAGCATTGCTTGGCTCACAGGAGCCAGGCTCTCCCTCTGGGTTCACGGACCATAGTTCTTGCATGCCGAATCCAGTTTAGTTTTCTTTGTTGAGTCGATCCCAGCATGTCAGATCCAAGAAAGCTTTATCATAGCTGTGAGAAGGAATGGTTGCATGGTTTGATGGCACAGGAAAGGTATTCTGCTGGTTGTACAAAGAGTCTCAGCCTGCACAAAATCTCACAGATAAGCCTTTTATTGTCCTTCAGTTGCCAAGGTGAATCAAATCTCAAGCAAATGGACCAAATGAAGTGGATCCTTCCCTTCCTGGCACATCTTGGCTGCAGCGTGGTTAAGTTAAAGAGTTGATTTGGCAAGCATTGTCCTCTAGACAAAGTGTGGAACTGTGCCACCCAGCTAAGGATACTTTATCAATGGTCATACCGTGCATTTTGCACCCTCTGGTGGACTTGTGCTGAATGGCATTGTGACAGCCTGAGCTAATAGCTAGCTGGGCTGAGGACTGATTTGGTGAAAGGGACCAGGAGCAGACCTGTAATGTGCTCAGAAGCCATCTCAGTCTAGACTGAATTCTGTCACAATCACTTAGACCAGGGGTCTTCAAACGTGGCCCTTTTATGACTTGTGGACTTCAACTCCCAGAATTCCTCAGCCAGTGTGCCTGGCTGAGGAATTCTGGGAGTTGAAGTCCACAAGTCATAAAAGGGCCATGTTTGAAGACCCCTGACTTAGACTATAGTTTTTTCTTCTCATCCATTTCTCATTAGCATATTTATTATGGGTAACTACTAGCAACACCAGCTTCATTTGTGCCCATTTTGTAAGAAAATAGAATACACAAAGGTGCTTCAGCTGAGCATTTTATAGCTAGAATTTTGTTTTGTTAATCCAGGCATGTATATATACTGTAGATGACTAAAATGAACCCATCATTTGTTGGATATGTATGTATATGTATAGTATATAAATGCATCCCCCCACCCATCCTATTCACTTGTTCCAATTCTTGGAGACTGCCTGGTTAGGTCCGGTGTTTTTTGGCAAGTTTTTTCAGAAATAGTTTGCCATTGCCTCCTTCTTAGGGCTAAGAGAAAGTGACAGGCCTAAGATCACCCAGCTGGTTTTGACTAAAGCAGGGCTAGAATTCACCCTCTCCTGATTTCTAGCCCAATGCCTTAACCCAGTGGTTCTCAACCTTTTTAATGCCGCGACCCCAACCGGTCGTAAGTTGAGGACTACCCAACCGGTCGTAAGTCGAGGACTACCCAACCGGTCATAAGTCGAGGACTTTCCCTGCCCGGGAGCGCCGCGCATGCATGGTGCTGCCCCCTGCGCCTGCCGAGGCGTAGCTGGCAAGCAGCAGAGACGGAGCAGGCCGACCACCGGCTGGACCACCAGCTGGCCCAGCCCAAGGGAAGTAAGGCACCCGCCGGGCCCCACGCGTGCCAGCAACCCTCCCTGCGCCCGCTGGCCTCCCACCTCCCATCCCTGGCCCTCTTTTACTTACATTTTTAGTAGTTGCTCAGCAGGGAGGGGTGGAAGCTTCCAGCCAGCTCACCTTCGCTGCAAACAACTTGCAGCACCATTTGCAGACTGGGGCTTTTGGAGGGCTCAGCAGGGCAGAGACAGCCTGGACAATTCCTATTGGCTTTTGAAAGCCAACAGAATTAGACTCTATTCAAGAGAGTCTATTCTATTGGCTTTCAAAAGCCAATAGAATAAAAGGGAGTAGCACAGCTAAGGAAAAGGGGGAAAAAATGGCGGACTGCGTTGTTTGGCGACCCCCGTAAAATGGTCGTTCAACCCCAAATGGGGTCCTGACCCACAGGTTGAGAACCGCTGCCTTAACCACTAGTCCAGGGGTCCTCAACCTTGGCAACTTCTGGGAGTTGAAGTCCCCAAGTCCTAAAGTTGCCAAGGTTGAGGACCCCTGCACTAGACCAAACTGAGTTTTAAAAGAGGTGTTTTTTAAACATACAATATGGTAAAGTTAAAACCCATAGCACGATCACTTTAGATTGACAATCTATTCATCTTATTGACATCAATTAGGTTTGACTAGCTGTGCAGTACTATCCGGCTCATTGACTACTGCCCTGTCATGGTAAAGAAAGTTAATGGAATAGGATTGGGGAGATTCAGATTCAAGTCTACCTTCAACAATAAAAGTTCATAACGTAGCTTTGAGACAGTCATTCTCTGCCTCACAGTGCAACTTAGTGGGGATAAAATGATACAATATCCCATTCCTGAATAAATATGATGATGATGACGACTTTTCTAGAATTCTGTAAATTGGCATCATTTGCCCATCAAAAACAATATAATCAAATCTAACTGGATGTAAACTAATGGATGGTCTATCTCAGTGTTTCTTAGTAACTTTAAGAAGTGTGGACTTCAACTTCCAGAATTCCCCAGCCAGTAAGCAACATGTTGACTAGGATATTCTGGAAATTGAAGTCAGGTTGAGAAATACTGGTTAATCTATTCACTGTCTGATCTGTTACTGGCCACAATTACACGTGATTTATAAAGTGAAAAAACATGCAGTGACACAACGAAAGTAAAATAAAATGGGCAAACTGAAAAAACCGCTTTCACACTCAGGTGTTTCTGTAGAAAATAAATATTATCACCTTCAATTCACCTTCCACCAGTACAAACAAAACAGAAACATTCTGGTTAAATTCATGGTTATGTAGCTGGGAAGCAAAAGAAGCCAAAATAAGGTATTTTCAAATAGATCCTGTTTATAATGCACATATGCATGAGAGTGAACAAAACTGAATGGGAGGTTCAATCCTCACCTTTCTGAGGTGTACAGTCTTGGGAGGGTTGTCTTCACCAACCCATTTCCTCTCTGATGTTTTCCTTTCATCTGTCTAAAGAAATAAAGAAGGACAGTCTCATTTATTTTTCAGAAACAGAGAGGTTTCCATAGACCTGGAGAAAGTCCACAGAACCTGCAAGAAAAACTCAACAATTTCTTTTTAATTAGGAATGGGTGGAACAAAAGGGATCACAGAAGTTATTTCATGAATTTATCCAACAGAGAAGAAAGTCACATAAGAAGAAAACAAGCATGGTTCTTGCAAATCCCTTCTGTTCCAGTCTGCTGGCAGAAAGGAAGAGTAGGGCTGTAACTAAAAGTTTGGCCTTTGTCTATATCAGCACATTCATTCAAAAATGCATACAGAGAAAGAGCTTCTGCATGGCATTAAGGCAATATTTTTTTCACTATTTGATTTGATTCACTAAATGAAAAACGTTTTTAAAATCTTGGGACATAGTAACTCTCTACATTCTTCACAAGGCTAAATGGTGTTTCCAGGTATCGACCACGGGGCCAAATGTGGAATCCTAGGATTTGGAAGATTCCCAGATAATCCCAGATAGTCAATGGTGGCCACAGTATCAAAGATAGCACTGTGCTATCTTTGTCAATTGAAATTGTAGACATATGCCATTTCAGAGTCTGCTATAATATTGATTATTCTTTGTTGACTATTATCGCTATTGATGATGGTCATTGCCCTGATTCGTGTGCTGAGTCAGGAAGATATATAAATATTAGATAAATGTTTTATCTCTTTGATAAAACAGTTGAACAAATCAACTGTTACTTGGAGGCTGCAACAGCCAATGAGAAAATTAAAATGCCTTCATTGGGCATATCCTCCCAACACAATGATTAATTAGTTCACCTTATTGCTAGGCTAGAAAAAAGCACAAATTTTGTAGTTGAAGTCCATGGCTGAGATCTGAATGGCAGGGAAGGAAGATTCTTTCTATCTGTTAGCTAGCTGGCTGGCTAGCAGGCAGTAACAGCAGTGAAGAAAGGGTAGCAGCAATTTTATTTACAGGTGCTTGAGCCAGAAAAACAGGTTGAACAGGCAGGATGGGAGAGTGACAGCCAGAAAAAGGTATTTGTGTGCTCAAGATGTCCTTACATCTGGCAGCACCTCTGCAAGCCTGCTCCATCCCCATATTTCTGTAGCAAGGTTGGGAGTGTGTATTTGCCAAGGTAAAGATCTAGTTTCTGCACAGTCAGCTGCTGGTGAAGACATGTAATTTTCTTCAAAGCATACTATGGGACTGCAGTGTAGTTGTTATTCCTGTTCCTGATTGGCTGAGATGCTGAGCATATAGTACATTTTGTGCCTTGCAAGAGACAAAAAAAAAAAATCTACATCCTTCCTACCCTAAAATTAATAAACCAATACAATAAGCTGGTTCAAAACCCCCTATATAAAAGTCTTCCTAATTTTACATCTTTTTTATAATTTTTACACCCTGGTTGAAAGCTGCATCTATGAGAAATTGATCCCTCCTTGAGCTTTATGTCTGAAAACTAAAATACAAAAAAACGTAAACTCCCTGGAGTTTTTCAAAAAAAGAAAGGAAGAAAGACAGGATGCTGAGAAGATGAGCAAGCTGGAACGAATAGGTTTTACTCTTGCTAATTGCCTGGGACCCTTTTATCCAAACATCAAAGTTCTTACATAGCTAGACACATAGAGCAATTGCACAGTGGAAATTCCATCTCCATCTACCCTCTCTCTATCATAAAGTATGGGTTTACATAACGCTTGATTTTATTGTACAATTTTCTTATATTTGCAGCAAAACTACATCACAACATCCAAATTGTTGGAAGGACAACTTAGAAGGGGGGGGGAGGAAGAAAGACAGAAGATGACACTGATTTGCATATATGATAGCTGATTTCAATGATCAATATGCCTAGTCAGTCCCTTGTTCTACTTTAGAATTAAGAAAGTGCTCCTTGTTTCCATCCAGGATATCAGCAGATTGTCAGTTTTTAATTTACTTCTTCTGGATTTTTTCCGCACAGTAAAGCATCAGTTACTGGATGATTGTACTAAAGTCAGGGTTTGCTAGATTCTGGGGCTCCCTTAGAGTACCATGATTTGGGATTAATATAATGGGTTGCCAATTCACTAGAAATGTCATGTTCTTTTAATAACAAGTAAGGAACCAGCAGCTGAAATTTTTGACAACAGAGAAATCAGCCTTGTTAAGCTACCAAGTCTGGAACTATAAAGATGGCAGAACTTTTGAAATGGTGAAACTGACCTGTTTGATCAGGGAGAAGGCAACAAATACTTTTATAAAAGGTTGGAAATATCCTATGGTCTTTTGCTGAAAATGGAACAAAATGAATGGGAAGATATGAATGAGAAGGCTTGGATTCTATATAAATGGTCTTACAGAAGATGAGTGGTTAGCATCCCTCAATGTTATCTGGATTTCATTTTGATTTGTTGGTTCCAAGGAAGTAGAAAGTGCAATGTGTTAGATGACGTCTATCACATGTAGGCTAAATCCATGCCTTACCTGGCTTCTTTGGAAAACACAAGAATTGGGGATGAATGTCCCCATTGGTGAGATGGTCTGACTCTACACCATCTCAGGATAAGAAAAATCTTGCAGAAGGTGGTTGAATATCTCTTTTGAATGAGAACTTCCTCCTGGATCCAATTAATTAAGCAATGGCTTTTTGGAAAAAAGTTGCCTTCTGGTGAGATGGGCCAGAATTTATTTATTTATTTGCATGAATAAATGATTGATTGATTGATTGAATGAATGAATATAAACAATAAATGGTAGAAGTATAACTACAGAACCCTGATGATGAGAAAACAAATGATTTAAATCCTTTTCAGGGAGGCCTAGATATTCAGCTAGAATTGCAGCAGTTATCCTATGGATGATCTCTGTCGGGAACTTGATGGGACAGCGTACCTCTCCTATTCCTCTTTTGGCAGTCTTTCGTATTACAAACTATGGTATCCTTTAGAGTGCCTATGAGAATTAGAAATTAGGGACACAGGTTTGCAGTGGCTTCTTTCCTTCCCGAATAAGTGATAGTAGTTATAAGGGGGGGGGGGGAGAGGAATGTCAATCTCATTAGACAGATTAGACCATGAAATCAACTTCATAGGATGACTAAAGCTAATTTTATTGACTATGATTATTATAATAGAATCTTACAAGTCTGACTGTTCTGATCTTTTTTTTTAATTTTTTTTATTGAATTTTTTTTATTTTTTAAAACATACAATCATTTATAAAAATACAATAAAATTTTAAAATAGAGAAACCCCCCCCCTTACCCTCCCTCCCACCCCCAACCCCCCTCCCTTCACTTCCCAGAGCAGAATACAGGGTTAAAAAAAATTATAATAATTAAGAAAAAAGAAAAAAAAGAGGAAAAAAATATCATAATTAACCTTTAACTCCATAGCCTATAAAACAATTCTCTATAATAGTTGATATTCATTCATAAAATAAATGAAACTTTTTGATTCCATACTTTTTCTGAATATAATCTATCCACCTTCCCCATACAGTAATATATCTTTCTTGTGTATGATCCTTTAAATAAGCAGAAATTTTTGCCATTTCTGCAAAACTAGATACTTTAAATATCCATTCTTCTAAAGTAGGCAAGGAATCTTTCTTCCAATATAAACCTACTAGTAACCTTGCTGCAGTTAATAAATTCAACATCAAAGTAGTTTCTTTTTCATTTAAGTCAACAAAAATACCAAGTAAAAATAGTTGAGGAGTAAACTTTATCTTTTTTCTAAAAATCTTTTGAATGTTCCACCAAATCATAATCCAAAAAGCCTTTACTTTTTTACAGTTCCACCAAATATGAAAGTATGTCGCATCATTATTGCCACATCTCCAACATTTGGGCTGTATGTTGGAATACATACAAGATAATTTTTTAGGATCTAAGTGCCATCTATAAAACATTTTATAAAAATTTTCTCTCAAATTTTGAGCTTGTGTAAATTTAACATTTCTTATCCAAATTGTCTCCCATAAATCCAATGAGATCGGCTCCTGTATATTCTGAGCCCATTTAATCATACAGTCTTTAACCAATTCTGTTTCCGAATCTAACTCTAATAAAACATTATATATTCTTTTTATATGAGCCGGACCTTGGTTTTTAATCTGAATAACCAATTGTCTATCTTCTAGTGTTATTCCCTCTTTCTTGTCTACAGTCCATCTATCCATTATTTGTAAATATTGAAACCATGACTGTAGAATATTTTGCTGCCTTAATACATCTAGGGATTTCAAATGCCAATTCGAATCAGAACAAATTAACAATTCTTTGTACGAGATTTTATCAAAATTTGTCCCCTTAGAAGTTCCCTCAATTGCATGTCTGGGAATCCCCCAGATAGGTATTTTATAATTTAATCTATAATAATACTTCTTCCAAACACGAAGTAAGGCATTCCTCAAAATATGTGATTTAAAAGTCCGATCAACTTTCTTATTAAAAATTAAATATGCATGCCAACCATATATTAAATCCCAACCTTCCAAAAAAAGAATATCCATATTTGTTAAATTAAGCCAATCACTTAACCAAGTTAGGGCGGCTGCATCATAATATAATTTCAAATTAGGTGCCTTAAGTCCCCCTCTTTCTCGAGCATCCTGTAATATCTTAAATTTAACCCTTGGTTTCTTCCCGGCCCATATAAAATTATTGATACCCTTTTGCCATTCCTCCAAATTTGCCTCTTTTTTAAGAATAGGTATCATCTGAAACAAAAAAAGAAACTTTGGTAGAACATTCATTTTTACAGCTGAAATTCTCCCCAACAATGACAATTGCAATTTTTTCCAATCTCTTAAATCCTTTTGGACTTTTGCCCATAGTGGTTCGTAATTGTTCTTATACAATTTTCCATTTGAAGCAGTTAGATATACTCCCAAGTATTTAACCTTTTTTACCATCTGAAAACCTGTGGCTTTAATCAAACTTTCCCTTTCTTTAACTGACATATTCTTAGATAATATCTTAGTCTTATAATTATTAACTTTAAAA